TCCCGTCCATAGACAGGGAAGAACGGGATAATATCATTAGTGCACAAATGACTTCCCCAAGGATAAACTGACCCAACTGAAGTACCTACACAGGATTTAATATACCCCATAATGGTTGCACAGGATGGGAAGACCAACGCCATTGGCATTTATATCTTTTTCCAGCATGTTTTGAGGTTCATTTTGCGTTTTTAAACATGCGATTTTGATACATTTTTTACTCTTTTTTTTTTTTTGGGTAATAGGAAAGTATGACAGTACTTTTCATGGTACTCAGTTCTCTGGCACTCAGGTAGCATCAAAGTCACATCACGGTAGTGCAGGAACCTTTATGTGTCCAACGTTGCATGTTAGGGTTGGGGGTAAGGGCTAGGGTGACGGTAAATGTATGGTTGGGGTTAAGGGCTAGCGTGACGGTAAATGTAGGGTTGGAGTTAAGGGCTAGGGTGAGGGTAAATGTAGGGTTGGGGTTAAGGGCTAGGGTGAGGGTAAATGTAGGGTTGGAGTTAAGGGCTAGGGTGAGGGTAAATGTAGGGTTGGGGTTAAGGGCTAGGGTGAGGGTAAATGTAGGGTTAGAGTTAAGGGCTAGGGTGAGGGAAAATTTAGGGTTGTTAAGGGTTAGGGTGAGGGTAAATGTAGGGTTGGGGTTAAGGGCTAGGGTGAGGGTAAATGTAGGGTTGGGGTTAAGGGCTAGGGTGAGGGTAAATGTAGGGTTGGGGTTAAGGGCTAGGGTGAGGGTAAATGTGAGGGTAAATGTAGGGTTGGGGTTAAGGGCTAGGGTGAGGGTAAATGTAGGGTTGGAGTTAAGGGCTAGGGTGAGGGAAAATTTAGGGTTGGGGTTAAGGGCTAGGGTGAGGGTAAATGTAGGGTTGGGGTTAAGGGCTAGGGTGAGGGTAAATGTAGGGTTGGGGTTAAGGGCTAGGGTGAGGGTAAATAGGGTTAGGGTTAAGGGCTAGGGGGGTTAAGGGCTAGGGTGAGGGTAAATGTAGGGTTAGGGTTAAGGGCTAGGGTGAGGGTAAATGTAGGGTTAGAGTTAAGGGCTAGGGTGAGGGTAAATGTAGGGTTGGGGTTAAGGGCTAGGGTGAGGGTAAATGTAGGGTTAGGGTTAAGGGCTAGGGTGAGGGTAAATGTAGGGTTAGAGTTAAGGGCTAGGGTGAGGGTAAATGTAGGGTTGGGGTTAAGGGCTAGGGTGAGGGTAAATGTAGGGTTGGGGTTAAGGGCTAGGGTGAGGGTAAATGTAGGGTTAGGGTTAAGGGCTAGGGTGAGGGTAAATGTAGGGTTAGAGTTAAGGGCTAGGGTGAGGGTAAATGTAGGGTTAGGGTTAAGGGCTAGGGTGAGGGTAAATGTAGGGTTGGGGTTAAGGGCTAGGGTGAGGGGTGAGGGTAAATGTGAGGGTAAATTAGGGGGTTAAGGGCTAGGGTGAGGGTAAATGTAGGGTTAGGTTAAGGGCTAGGGTGAGGGTAAATGTGGGGTTAGGGAGGGTTAAGGGCTAGGGGGTGAGGGTAAATGTAGGGTTGGGGTTAAGGGCTAGGGTAAATATAGGGTTGGGGTTAAGGGCTAGGTAAATGTAGGGTTAGGGAGGGCTAGGGTAAATGTAGGGTTAAGGGTTAAGGGTTAGGGTTAAGGGCTAGGGTAAATATAGGGTAATGCAGGCCATAGACGGGTCAAAAATCGGCTGATTTTAGTGTATTGAAATCTGCTAGTCCATGTAACACTCCCCTCCCCCACCCAGGCTGACAATGCTGCTGCCTGCTATGCCTCCTGTGCTCCTTCATCAAGAGTGGGGGCGCTGTAACACAGGAGGTGTGTTACTGGTCAGATCAGTGGATGAAAACAGAGGGGGAAAAAAAAATAAAAATAAAAACAAATGCAGCCGCCACATCTAATGATTGGTAAACTGCGATATACTGCAGGACAGTTTTGGTTTGGGGTTTATTATCACTTTAAATGTGGCGGCTGCATTAGGTTTAATTTTTATAGGGTTTTTTTTTTTCCCTTCATTTTCACCTGGTGACCCCGGCAGAAGCAGACTTCCTGTCTTATGCCGGCCATAGACGGGTTGAAAATCGGCCTATTTTTCGGCTGGAAAAAAAAAATCGGCAGATTTTCGCACCGTTAGTGGGTTAATTGGTTGGCCATTTTTCGGGGTTTTGGCACATTTTTTTTATCGGTCAAGTTGGAAAATTCACAGCCGATTTTGACAATCGGCCAATTTTCCCGGTACTGATGGGCAAATCGGCCAATCGTTTTTACCGATAAAAAATCTGTGCATGAGCCGTGACCTGCAAGAAGAAGAAAAAGAAGAAGAAGAATAAGAAAAAAAATAATAAGAAGAAGAAGAAAATGAAAAAGAAGAATTCCAGTCCGCTATTTTATTTTACATAAAAAAGTTTTGCGGTTGCAACAATGTATCTATTTGTATCGGAATAAAAACATCTATATCCGAAATGGATACAAATAAATACATTGTTGCAACCGCAAAACTTTTTTATGTAAAATATATATGGAGCTCTCTGCAGGGACAGAAGTAATTATGGGGTTAAATGCCGGCCGTAGACAGAACGAAAATCGGCCGATTTTTTTACCAATGGTGGTAACGTCGGCCGATCGAATTTTATTTTTTTTTATAAAACGCGACCGTTTTTCGACCCGTCTATGGCCTGCATTACTGTTAAATGTTAAGGTTAGTGTTAGGGTAGCCCTACATCCTAACCCTCCATGTAACCTAACCTTAGCCCTTAACCCTAAGCCTAACGTGTGACTTTGGACACATAAAGGTTCCTGCACTTCTTTGATGCTACTTTGACGCCACTTGACTGCTAGAGGCACACAAAGTACATAAAAAACGCAACAATTATGTTTTTGGTGGAGGTCCACTGAAGGATATTACATGCAAAACACACAATCTGTTGCAGGAGAAAAAAGTCCCTGACCCTTTCCAAAAAACACACTGGCTCAAAACGCACAGATGTGAACTAGATCCATAGGAAACCATGTTAAATGGACTGTAGTGCATTTCTGCATAAAAAAAAAAAAAGTAAAAAAATGCATAGGTGTGAACCAGGTCTAAAGATCTAGTACGTGGGCATCTCCAAAGTCTTCTGTCTCAGCTCTACACCCAGTACTTTATGGGGTTGGATCAGCTGATCTTTAGCAGAAATTACGGTGGTTGGTTGCTCACTACAAATACACTATATTACCAAAAGTATTGGTCGGCCGGCCTTTGCACACACATGACCTTTATTGGCCCCCCAGTCTTAGTCCGTAGGGTTCAATATTGAGTTGGCCCCGCCCTTTGCACACACATGACCTTTATTGGCCCCCCAGTCTTAGTCTGTAGGGTTCAATATTGAGTTGGCCCCACCCTTTCCCACGCACATGACCTTTAATGGCCCCCCAATCTTAGTCCGCAGGGTTCAATATTGAGTTGGCCCCGCCCTTTGCAGCTATAACAGCTTCAACTCTTCTGGGAAGGCCGTCCACAAGGTTTAGGAGGGTGTCTATGGGAAGGTTGGACCATTCTTCCAGAAGCACATTTGTCAGGTCAGGCACTGATGTCGGGGGAGGAGGCCTGCTCACAGTCTCCGCTCTAATTCATCCCAAAGGTGTTCTATGGGGTTGAGGTCAGGACTCTGTGCAGGACAGTCAAGTTCCTCCACCCCAAACTGGCTCCTCCATGTCTTTATGGACCTTGCTTTGTGCACTGGGGGGCAGTCATGTTGGAACAGGAAGGGGCCATCCCCAAACTCTTCCCACAAAATTGGGAGCATGAAATTGTCCAAAATGTTTTGGTATGCTGACACCTTATGAGTTCCCTTCACTGGAACTAGGGGGCCAAGCCCAACCCCTGAAAAACAACCTCACACCACAATCCCCCTCCACCAAACTTTGCACTTGGCACAATGCAGTCAGGCAAGTACCGTTCTCCTGGCAACCGTCAAACCCAGACACGTTCATCGGATTGCCAGACAGAGAAGCATGATTGGTCACTCCATAGAACACATCTCCACTGCTCCAGAGTCCAGTGGCGGCGTGCTTTACACCACGGCATTCAACGCTTTGCATTGCACTTGGTGATGGAAGGCTTGGATGCAGCTGCTCGGCCATGGAAACCCATTCCATGAAGCTCTCTACGCACTGTTGTTGGGCTCATCTGAAGGCCACACCAAGTTTGGAGGTCTTTAGCTATTGACTCTGCAGACAGTTGGCGACTTCTGCGCACTGTGCGCTTCAGCATGCGCTGACCCCGCCCTGTCATGTGACGTGGCCTACCACTTGGTGGCTGAGTGGCTGTTGTTCCCAGTGGCTTCCACTTTGTTATAATCCCACTAACAGTTGAGCGTGGAATATTTAGTAGCCAGGAAATGTCACGGATGGACTTATTGCCCAGGTGGCCACCTATCACGGGACCACGCTTGGAGTCACTGAGCTCCTGAGAGCGACCCATTCTTTCCCCAATGTTTGTAGAAGCAGTCTGCATGCCTAGGTGATGACTGTATATATCTGTGGTCATTGAGGGGATTGGAACAACATGATTTGGAGGGGATTGGAACACCTGAATCACATGATTTGGAGGGGATTGGAACACCTGAATCACATGATTTGGAGGGGTGTCCCAATACTTCTGGCAATATAGTGTAGGTCCCCTATATGCACCACGTACTCAGCAGCCTGGCAGCCTGAGGCTAGGTGGTCTCATGAAAACTGGAGGGTCCCGCCTGGCAACTAAATGAGGGAATTGGAACACCTGAATCACATGATTTAGATGGCGGGGCCAATACTTTTGTATCATAGTGTACTTTGGCATGTAGTAAACATGGAATCATATAGCAACCCTTCAACTGCCAGGAGCCAAATCTATTGGCAACGAAAGCTCCCCATTCTGAGCCAACCTTACAGATGTTGATGCCACAAAACCTTGGCATTTGCACCCCTTTGTGTAGAAAACTCATGCGAGGAAGAAGTAAAAATATAGATTTTTCCCACCTTGGAGGGCATGGCTCCTCGTTGCAGCTCCGTTGTCTGTCATCAGGCCGTACCAGTGAATCGCAATATCTTTCTTCCACAAGACCAGCCACTTTTTCCACACAATGCACCAGCTGCCTCTGCACCCCTAACACAGATACGACAGGTAAGTGTCACTTCAGTAACAATGCCACGTTGGTATACATGGGTGTCTATGGTCACACTTGAGGTCCATTACTGTCCGGGTCTTTTTAATAAAGCCTAAAAGAGTTTCACATAGTGTGTAATCCTTTCTCTGCAGTGCCTGGGCAGTACTTCTACTGTGTACAAGGGCAATGCGGGAACACTGGGTGATGCAAGAACACAGAACATGTGCCATTCACTTGCCTCACCCTGGATCTGACCTGAACTCTGTACACAGAAGGAGCACCGTCCAAGTCTATACAGCTGACTCAATGAGTTGACCTAAGCTAGCCTTGGTGTTCACGGACCTCAGGATTCCTCAGATGTTCTGTTATGTTGTATTGCTGTCATCTCACCAGTGCCACACGTGGCCGAGCACTCCGACCACGCTCCGTATCTCCAGGAGAACTCCGGCGGCTGGACCTCATTGCCGTTGTCTAGGTCTCTTCTCACCGTATACTGGTATCGCACTCCGGGATTCTTCTCCTGGAACAGAAGCTGAATGCACAAACCTCGGTCAGTTTTGTTGGATCGTTCTGCGGTGTTCCTTTTTTTAGGGAGTAATAAAGTCTAATTTATTGGGCTACGTTAACCCCTCGCCTACCGGGAACTTTCGCCCCCGTCCTGCCTAGGCCAATTTTCAGCGCTGTCGCACTTTGAATGACGATTGCGCGGTCATGCAACACTATACCCAAATACCTTACTAACCACTCCGTTTCCGCCACCCCCCCCCCCTGCCAATCCCTCCACTGGCTTCCGATTGCCCAACGGAACAAAATTAAAATGCTAAAATTGATGTACAACGCTGTTCATAATACTTCCCCAAACTACATCACCGATCTTGTATCCAAATACCACCCAAAACGTACTCTCCGCTCCTCACAAGACCTCCTTCTCTCTAGTTCCCTGGTCTCCTCCTCCCATGCCTGTCTCCAGGACTTCTCCAGGGTGTCACCCATCCTCTGGAACTCCCTACCCCAATCCATTAGACTATCGCCTACTCTCCTCACCTTTAGGCACACCCTGAAAGCCCATCTCTTCAGGGAAGTCTACCCCGCCCTCAGCTAATTGCCGATCTCTTCCACTCCTCCTACCACTCCATCACCCACATCCACTTCCTCCTGTACCTCTATCCCCTCCCTCCTAGATTGTAAGCTCCAAGGAGCAGGGCCCTCGAACCCCTCGTATATTGTTACTGCACTGTCTCGTGTATTGTCTCCCATTATAATGTACAGCGCTGAGCAAACTGTTGGCACTTTATAAATACTGTATAATAATAATAATAATACCCAAATTACATTTTTAGCATTTTTTTTTGAGACAGATAGAGCTTTCTTTTGGTGGCATTTAATCACCTCGGGGTTTTTTATTTTTTGATAAACAAACCAAAAACAACTGAAAACTTTTGAAAAAACAAGTTTTTTTCTTAGTTTCTGTTATAAAATTTTGTAAACGAGCAATTCTTCTCCTTCTCTGATGTGTGCTAATGAGGCTAGTCTCCTATGTGATAGCGTATGAGTGGCAGGTCCTATGTGTAGGGGGGGGGGGGGGGGAGCAGTGTGTGCAAGGAGAGGGCAAGAGAGGAGCAGTGTATACACTCAGACTCCCCTCACTGGCTGCCCATATATGCCACTGCCAGTTTCCCTTCACTATAGCTCCAAGAAGGAGCTGTCATTCTTCCTGCCGCTAAAGGAAACACTAAGGGGCGGGATCACTGTGTAATGTCATTGGGTGACCCCGCCCCTACCGCTAAATGTCACCCCCCAGTTTTTAAATGCAATTGGCTATAGCTCCAAGAAGGAGCTATCATTCTTCCTGTCGCTAAAGGAAACACTAAGGGGCGGGGTCACTGGGTAATGTCATTGGGTAACCCCGCCCCCCTATTTAATTTAGCGGTGGGGAGAGTGACAGCTCCTTCTTGGAGCTATAGCCAATTACATTTAAAAACATGTGACATTTAGTGGTAGCGCACTGTATACTCTGTTCCTCTTCTGCCTTTCTCGGCCGCCCCCCCCCCCCCCCACCACATCTGCAGTACACACAGCCCCCTATTGGCACCTGTATCGGCTAAAATGTTCCTATCGGCAAAATGTTTAAATATGTGATCTTCTGGGTCCCTTCCCCTCTGCTCACTGACCATAGGGGGCATTTGCTCGCCACTGCCGCCATTCACAGAATCCCTTGTATTTCGTTCAATGAATACAAGGCATTCTCTGATTGGACAAGGTGGAGAGGAGGGGGGCAGTGATGATTTCCGATAGAATGCATTGTATGTTTTATTACCACGATGGAATCTCTAATGGAATGCAATTAAGATTTTCAATGAAAATGTGATTACCTGTATCCACACCGGCTCGTAGGTTGGTCCGGGCGCGGTCAGGTTCTCCAGATTCCCCGTGCGGGTGTAGGTGAATGTTGTGCCCGCTGCTTGGTAATCCCCATTCCACTGAATAGTCCATTTGCCATTCAAGAAATACTTCTCTGGGTCTTCGCTGCGGAGAGCTAAAAAGTTTCCGGCCTCCGCCACTTCTTCAATCCGAATCTCGTGAGCGCCGGGCGGAATGAGGCCGATGTCCACATAGCCTGCAAGAAACGCACACGGATCGCTAGTTACTAAAACCAGAGGGTGCGCAATCTAGTGCAGCTCTGCAGGAAACCACAGGGCCCCATACAGCCAAGCTGACAGCCCCCCTCCCCCTACACACTGCTTACTATGCTTCAGTTATGAATGAACCCAGCTAATGATCAGTACCAATCACTCATTGTGTTCATTCAGAGAAGGAAGGAGCTGGTAAATGTGACATATTTACCAGACCCATAACCCACTCTCCATCCTGAAAGATCCTATTGTGTGCTGGCAGCTGCCAGGGGGAAGGAAAGGAGGGAAGCTGGAAGCACTACAGGGGTGGGGGCGCATGGTTGGTGGGCAGCAGGAGGAAACCTATGGTGCACAGGGAGGGTGATGGTTGGGGGGGGGGGGGTTTACCATTACTGGAACCGATCCCCTGTATGGCTCTCTCTGCAGCAGCTAAAAGCCAGCGGGAGTGAGATGAGAAGAAGCCGGCTTTCATATATATATGTGATTTTGTGCACCCGAGCCATCCTGTAGCCGTATTTCGGCTATAGGGCAGCGCAGAAGCAGTTAATTCCTATGATCATCTGCCCCATCTAGTGGCCATAATGCTGTATTTTCCTGATTCATGCTATTCTTATGAATTAAGAACATCTGACAGCCTTGTAACACTGGATTTTGCTCTGCTCTGCAGAAAACCAATGATCATGCAGTTTCACAGGACAAGCAGCTCTGTAAATTTTTTTTATAAATACACCCTTAACCTCTTCACGTCGGCCGCACACAAATGTGCGGCCTCCTGGCGTCTAGGCCTAGACAGCGAGCGGCTGCACATTTGCGTTCTATTAAAAAAGGACATATGTGAGCGCGCGCCCTGAGCGCTCCCAGCACACATGTCTGGTACTCACGGAAAGGTCCCGGTCTCCTCTTTTCGATCGGGACCTTTCCCGATCATGTGACCGCCATGACGGCGCGTCATGGCGGTCACATGACCCTAAACCCCGCCCCACTTCCCGGCTTCTGGAACCCTTAAAGGGCTGGGAAGCGCTGGCGTGAAAGGGGTTAAAGTAGAACTACAGACAAAACTTTTTGTTTTCCTTTTGGATAGAATAAGGGAGGGTTATAACCTCTGGCAGATTTGTATTCACTATCTGTCTTCCACTGGGGAGATTTACCTTCACTTCCTGTCCCATAGCCAAACAGGAAGTGAGAGGAAATTCCTGCAAAATTAAGGGAATCCCTTGGGGACCCCCCACATCACCAGAACTAGTGTCCCTATTGGAAGATTTCTCCTCCATTACTTTTCTGGGGGAACCCCAAAATTTTAGATTTTCGTGATGATAATGGGGAAACAGGACAAATAGAGAGGGTGGCACAGACAGCAATAGAAACCCAATAGGAGGTCTAATCCCACTCCGCTCCATCCAAAACTAAAAAACAAAAAAAAAAAAAGGTTTCCCTTAAGTTAGACTTTAAGGACTTGTTTTCACTGACACTGCCCTCTGTAATCAATGGTGGGTCGCTCTTCAGAGGGTGATTACAAGGCATTGAGGTGTTAGTATTGAGAGCCAGCCACAGGGGTGGATTCCCCATCATGTGACCACTGTGATAGCCACTCATAGTGGTCATGTGATCGGGCAGTCTATCATGCCCGCTGGCAGGGGCGGACTGACCATTTGGAAACTCGGGCACTGCCCGAGGGCCCGGGGTCAGTAGGGGGCCCCATGAGATGCCCCTGGTACCTTTTTCATAGGCTTTTTTGAGTTTGGGCAAAGACACAGGGGCCCCATGATCCCCTATTGCCCGGGGGGCCCCATGAGTTGTCAGTCTGCCCCTGCCCCCTGGGCGTAAAGACCCAGTAAAGGGACGCCAAGACTAAGCAGTTTGGGGTTATTAAACCATGAGGACATAAGAGTTGCAGTGGCGTCCCTAGGCAGGTGCAGGGGGGGGTGCGCGCCGCACGGGGTGACACCTACCGCACGGGGTGACACCGGGCCCACTGCACGAAAAGGTAAGTTGTAAAGCAAGCCAACAATCCCCACAAGATGGATCGGATCTGCGGATTGAGCATAATGGATCAGAGGATTGGGGAGGATAATAGATCGGACTCTGATCCATTATGCTCAATCAGCAGATCCCATCCATCCTGCGGGGATGGTCGGCATGCAACCTATACGGGGTGACACCGGACCCGCTCCACGAAAAGGTAAGTTGTAAAGCAAGCCGTCAATCCCCGCAGGATGGATGGGATCTGTGGATTGGGGAGGATAATAGATCGGAGTCCGATCCATTATCCTCAATCCGCAGATCTGATCCATCCTGCTGGGAACGTCAGAGGGGTTGTCACCAAGTGTTATCGCACCGGGTGACACCAAGCCTAGGGACGCCTCTGGTGAGAGGCGCCTATAAGCAGTTCATGGGAGAGCACACAGCTGCGTATCTTAGTTTTGACAGCTTTGATGAAATTCCTATCTCTGGCAAAGGCCAAGAATTTAATTTAGAAAAGGCAGAAGTGGAGAAAAGCTGATTCTGGGCTGTTTTTGCCAACTCGCTCTATGACCCGATTGTACTTGTGACCATATTTGTCTAGGCTGGACTGTCCACATAAACAATCTTCTACAAAGTCCACCCCCCCCCCCCCCCCCCAGTACACAGATGCACTGATGACATACAGTGCCTTGAAAAAGTCTTCATACCCCTTGAGATTTTCCACATTTTGTCACGTTACAACCAAAATATCAATGTATTTTATTGGGATTTGATGTGATAGACCAACACAAAGTGGAAGGAAAATGAGAAATGGTTTTCAACATTTTTTACAAATAAATATTTGAAAAGTGTGACGTGCATTTGTATTCAGCCCCCTTTACTCTGATACCCCTAACTAAAATCTAGTGGAACCAATTGCCTTCAGAAGTGACCTAATTAGTAAATAGTAAATAGAGTCCCCCTGTGTGTCATGTGATCTCAGTATAATCCAGCTGTTCTGTGAAGCCCTCAGAGGTTTGTTAGAGAACATTAGTGAACAAACAGCATCATGAAGGCCAAGGAACACACCAGAAAGGTCAGGGATAAAGTTGTGGAGAAGTTCACAGCAGGGTTAGGTTATGAAAAAATACCCCAAGCTTTGACCATCTCACGGAGCACTGTTCAATCCATCCTCCGAAAATGGGAAGAGTACGGCACAATTGCCAACCTACTAAGACATGGCCGTCCACCTAAACTGACCGGCCGGGCAAGGAGGGCAAGGAGAGCATTTATCAGAGAAGCAGCCAAGAGGCTCATGGGAACTCTGGAGGAGCTGCTGAGATCCACAGCTCAGGGGGGGAATCTGTCCACAGGACAACTATTAGTCGTGTACTCCACAAATCTGGCCTTTATGGAAGAGTGACAAGAAGAAATCAATTGTTGAAAGAAAGCCATAAGAAGTCCCATTTGCAGTTTGCGAGAAGCCATGTGGGGGACACAGCAAACACGTGGAAGAAGGGGCTCTGGTCAGAGGAGACCAAAATGGAACTTTCTGGTCTAAAAGCAAAACGCTATGTGTGCCGGAAAACTAACACTGCACATCACCCTGAACACACCATCCCCACCGTGAAACATGATGGTGGCAGCATCACGTGGTGGGGATGCTTTTCTTCAGGAGGGACAGGGAAGTTGGTCAGAGTTGATGGGAAGGATTGATGGAGCCAAATACAGGGCAATCTTAGAAGGAAACCTGCTAGAGTCTGCAAAAGACTTGAGACTAGGGCAGAGGTTCACCTTCCAGCAGGATAACGAAACATCCAGCCACAGCTACAATGGAATGGTTCAGATCAAAGCATCTTCATGTGTTAGAATGGCCCAGTCACAGTCCAGACCCAAATCCAATGGAGAATCTGTGGCCAGACCTGAAAATTGCTGTTCCCAGACGCTCTCCATCCAATCTGACAGCTTGAGTGATTCTGCAAAGAAGAATGGGCAGAAATGTCCCTCTCCAGATGTGCAAAGAGACATCCCCAAAAAGACTCGCAGCTGGAATTGCAGCCAAAGTTGGGGTCTTACAAAGTATTGACTCGGGGGGGGGGGGGGGGGGGGGGCGAATACAAATGCTTTTGATTTCACTCTGAATAAATCTTCCTTTAAATATATATGGATTGGTCCCAGTTTCCTGAGTTTAGCTATGCAGATTTGGCCATCCCTACTGTTGATCCCTGACCCCAAGCCCTAAAACCTATTTCCCAGCTGGACTGGACTTAATGCTCAAGGCCTTACACTAGAGCAAACCCCAAAATATTACAAATATATATTGGAACTCACCAAGTCCTTCGCTGTCGTCAAACGTCTTGTGCACAGTATGACATGTAGAAGAGTCACCATGACAAACACCACAGCGATCCTCCACAGCATTGGAGTCAATCTCGTAGTCACAGCCAATGTTCTGTTTTGAAAGATCATATTATTGAGTATTGTTTGTTATTGCTCAAAAACAACCTGAAATAATGCAGAATTACTATTTTAGAATGGCACAGAAGAGGTCTCAGTAGCAGGACTACTTTTAGCATGGAGTTTGGGGGGTTGGCATAGGAGCAGGGGCGGACTGACCATTTGGAAACTCGGGCACTGCCCGAGGGCCGGGGTCAGTAGGGGGCCCCATGAGATGCCCCTGGTACTTTTCATAGGCTTTTTTGAATTTTGGCATGGGTACAGGGGCCCCATGATTCCTTATTGCCTGGGGGCCCCATGAGGTATTAGTCTGCCCCTGCATAGGAGGACCTCTACTAATTCTGTATTTTGAGTCCCATCATATGCACTTATAGCACCCTCTAGGTGTAGTGTAGGCTGAAAGGTAAATTTAGTTGGCTCAACCGTAACCCAGAGGAGCAGGGGTTGATTATTTAGGGCTGCTCAGTGTCTCACAGGCTGCTGCTCTGATTGCCCCCCCCCCCCCCCACCATCTTCTAGAGGATTCTAGATGTATAGTGGAAGGAAGGACAGAGTATGCAGCCTAAATATTTATGGGACTTCAGCCAATCCCTGGGCAGGTGTACCCAGTAGGTGGTTGGAGAGTCCTTAAATAGACTGAGGCAGCAGCTGAAGTGTTCCTGGGTCCGGTCCTGCTGGAGGAGACCCTTGGGCAAGAGCTCTGCTCCTGGGGCAGGAGTGCTAGAGAAGTCCCTAAGAAGACATCAAGGTCCCATTTAGGCTTAGATGGGGGGCCTATTTGCAAACTTAAGTCCTGGAGTCAAGTTGGTTCTAGGGAAGCTTACTGGAGAATACCAGGAGCAAGTCGGTGGGAGAGAATCCAGTTGTCCTATGGTGGTGTGACTCTACTTCTCCCCCATGGATAAGAGCCTGATGGATATCAGCAGCAGGCAACCGATGATCCTGTAGTTGTGTGGGTTAATGACCCCAGTACTGAGAGTCAGTGACTGCATGTAGCTTTTTAGTCTCCGGGAGGATTACTAGTCACTGTCAGCATGCAGATTCTGTGGGGACATTTTTTGGTACAGTTCATCAAGATAGACAAGGATTCCTCAAGGTTGTTCCTCTTCTTCAGTTTTGAGGTAGCCCATTCTCCCTCACCCTAACCAAACGCCCAACCCAAAAAAACCCTCTACGGTTCTTTGGAGCCAGTTGAAGAGTGAAGAATATATTGTGTGCCTGGCCGTGTGTGCGCTAAGTTGGGAAATAGCACTAAGTTCACCAGCGGCTCCTTAGTGGGTGCGCTACACATTTATACTTGGTTATTAGGCAAAACAATACGCATGTAGTACCTTGTTGTAGATTGCCTTTCCAGGTTGAGCAATCATCCTTAGTTTGGTGTCTAGGGGTCTCCCTGTTTTAGAAAGCACAATATAAATGGGAGTGTGGAGAGGAGTTAGCAGTTGGTGGTGGTGGAGTAGTGGAGAGCAGACAGCGAGGACAGGTGTTCCTGATATAGGCCCTCAAGAGAATCCTTGTGCCTCACCAGCAGAAACCATGTAATATACCGAACCACAGCCTTCCCTTCTGGTAGATGCCAGAACCCTTCCACCACTGAATGAGCCAGACCAGGGTAGCTGGAGGTATATTAAAGACTGTTGCAAAGTGGACATTTATACAACTAATCGAAAAGTTCAACTAAGTTATGCTGTACTCTTTCTAGGTTGAGCAATCGTCCTTAGTTTGGTGTCTAGGGGTCTCCCTGTTTTAGTAAGCACAATATAAATGGGAGTGCGGAGAGGAGTTAGCAGTTGGTGGTGGTGGAGTAGTGGAGAGCAGACAGCGAGGACAGGTATTCCTGATATAGGCCCTCAAGAGATTCCTTGAACCTCAACAGCAGAAACCATGTAGTATACCGAACCACAACCTTCCCTTCTGGTAGATACCAGAACCCTTCCACCACTGAATGGGCCAGACCAGGGTAGCTGGAGGTATATTAAAGACTGTTGCAGAGTGGACATTTATACAACTAATCGAAAAGTTCAACTAAGTTATGCTGTACTCTTCATGTATCCATGAAGCCTTACATATCCATGGAGCAATTTCTTCACTTTCTCAGTCAACATTGACTATGTTCAAGCCTTAAGCTGCTAGCATTAGTAAATGGATAGGAAAGTATATTATATTTACTTCTTTTAAACTTTTATTTTTTACATTTCTTCAGTTATGTTTTGGTTTCTGACCTAGGCAAATGATACCATACATCCCAGGAGTCTTTAGGAGGGGAGCAGGGGTTTTCTCAGCACCCTCCTGCCTGCATGCCTGAGGGCAGATGGATTCCAGGAAGTAAAGGCTGCCCTTCTTACTTAGGATGGCCACAGCCAGAAATGCTAGGGGGGGAGGGGTTCAAAGTGATTTCTCTGCAAAATAAAGCATGGAGACATGGATGGATGGATGGATGGATGGATGGATGGGGGAGTTTACTTTGAATATTAAAAAAATTAATAAAATAGCATTTTTGATTTGTGGTGCTCAGATGTAGTGTAGTTCTGCTTTAAGGTGGGTTAGCTATACCTGGGGAACCCAGTGTGGAACGTGGCTCAATGAGCAGGGGTGGCGCCCTAATGAATTGGGTCAGCCAGGGTCTTGGTGGATATACACTATATATTGCCAAAAGTATTAGAACAACTGCCTTTACACACACATGAAATTTGATGGCCCCCAGTGTTAGTCCGTAGAGTTCAATATTGAGTTGGCCCCGCCCTTTACAGCTATAACAGCTTCAACTCTTCTGGGAAGGCCGTCCACAAGGTTTAGTAATGTGTCTATGGGAAGGTTTGACCATTCTTCCAGAAGCACATTTGTGAGGTCAGGCACTGATGTCAGAAGAGAAGGCCTGGCCTCAACCCCTTTAAAACAACCCCACACCATAATCCCCCCTCCACCAAACTTTACCCTTAGCACAATCCAATCAGGCAAGTACCATTCTCCTGACAACCACCAAACCCAAACACATCCACTGGACTGCCAGACTGAGAAACGTGATTGGTCCCTCCAGAGAACATATCTACATGGCGAGTCCAGTAGTGGCGTGCTTTACACCACGGCATCTGAAGCTTTGCATTGCACTTGGTGATGTAAGGCTTGTGATGCAGCTGCTCGGCCATGGAAACCCATTCCATGAAGCTCTCTACGCACTGTTGTTGTGCTAATCTGAAGGCCACACCAAGTTCGGAGGTCTTTAGCTATTGATTCTGCGACAGTTGGTGACTTCTGTGCACTGTGCACTTCAGCATGCACTGACCCCATTTTGTCATGTGACGTGGCCTACCACTTGGTGGCTGAGTTGCTGTTGCTCCCAGTTGCTTCCACTTTGTTATAATCCCACTAACAGTTGAGCGTGGAATATTTAGTAGCCAGGAAATGTCACGGATGGACTTATTGCACAGGTGGCAACCTATCTACTGAGCTCCTGAGAGCGACTCATTCTTTCACAAATGTTTGTAGAAGCAGTCTGCATGCCTAGGTACTTGATTTTATACACCTGTTGCCATGGAGGGGATTGGAACACCTGAATCACATGATTTGGATACTGTATAATAATAATAATTTGGAGGGGTGTCCCAATACTTCTGGCAATATAGTGTAGGTCCCCTATCTGCACCGTGTACTCAATAGCCTGGCGGCCTGAGGCTAGGTGGTTGGCAGAAAACTGGAGGGTCCTGGCAACTAAATTAATTTAGACCCTGTTAGCTATATGTATCTAGCAGACCAATGGTTCCCTGGTCCTCAGAAAACTGGAGGGCCCAGGCTGGCAACCAAATGAATTTAGACCCTGTTAGCTATGTGTATGTAGAAGACCGGGGGTTCCCTGATCTCCAAAAAACTGGAGGGCCCAGCTGGCAACCAAATGAATTTAGACCCTGTTAGCTATGTGTATCTAGCAGACCATGGTTCCTTGATAGCCCCGTAGATTTTAATTGGTATGGTATTGGTCTTAAGTCCCCAGCAAAGACGTTCCTCACTGTGTTGCTATGGCTACTTTAGTGATGTTTATAGCATAAATATATGCTATAAATACATGCTAAAATTATAAGTAATTTGCACGCACTGCATTCTTGTTTAGAAAATCACATAATATACTATACAGGTTTGTATGCTTCCTTGCTTTACTGCAGAGGGACTTTAAAAGATTCAAAGCTAAATACTAATGTACCTCCCTAGCGGGGGAGCTGGATTTATCAGCAGGCTGCTAGGGGCTCTACATTCATTTTCTAAGAAAATGCCACGATTTATGATACATTTAAAGGGTCAGTCTTCCTACAATTGATATTCCAGATTTTGATACATGCTGGAAAGGTAAACCACTTAGCAGTTTCTTATACTTCTTGGGAACTCTGTTGGTTAGACCATTGCACTTGGGTTTTCGGGTCTGTATATTTGCCATAGCTGGTAAAAGGGGTTATGGATTTTTAATGCACATTATATAATGGAGAGTGCATCAGTAGGCATTGAAAAACGGAAATGTAACAACCTACAACAATTCCCAGGTCAGTATGAACATTTGGGGGATCTCACTGTTGGAATCCTCAGGACATATATGATGCCAGGGGCTGACTTAGCCCATCATGCTACAAGTATAAATCAAATATTAATTTTTAGTTAATGGACCCTTTAATAAGCATCATACAGTTGCTTCCCAATCCAACAAAGAGACATCCAGTAAACAGACATCCCCACCCAGCAAAGTGACATCCCCATATATTCAGCAAAGAAACATGCCAATATATTCAGTAAAGAGACATTCCAATCTAGCAAAGAGACATCCCCGTCCAGCAAAAAGACATCCCCCTATAATCAGCAAAGAGACATGCCCATATATTCAGTAAAGAGACAGCCCAATCTAGCAAAGAGACATCCCCATCCAGCAAAGAGGCATCCCCATATATTTAGTAAAGAGACAGCCCA